TGGCGAGACTTGAAACCTCTCATCCCCGTCTTGACCCGATCACCGTCCCCCAAACAGTGATTTTACTCAGAAGCTAGTCATACCAAAAGGACTTTATATAACCAGTTTTTCAAATACAAATATTCCAGCATAGACACAAAAAGATCATCAAAACTCCTTCACCCATCCAGTTTTTGTGTCTTTTCACCTCCACTCGGTCAACGTTTGACAACTTTACCGCGTCCAATATGCGCAGTTTTCATTTCTCTTCCGTGATTGAACTCAATTCTAGATAGCAAAAACCCATCGACGTGTGTATACGTTTTCATTTCTTACCTTTCCGCCTCTGTTACTATTCGTCTTCATATCTCCTTATCCACAGAACTATAACCTGTCAGAAATGTGCTATATTGCTGACCTTCCTTTTTATAAATTTCCCGAATGAACAAAATTGTCCATTGACCGTTTTGTGCTTATCTTTGTTTCTCGCGCGCAAACAGATCGCGTTTCATGGTTTTTTTCAATCCCACTAACAGTCGACCCAAATTTTCTGCCATTTATTCTACAAAATGATCGCGCATCCCAGCATGCCTCAGGACTTTCGTTATGAGATAAAAACATGTTACTGTCATTGTTATAAAAGATCAGTGCTATTGGTGTGGCCTCGTATCTCAGCTGGTAGAGCATGCGCGTTCGAAGCGTGTGCGGCGTCCATGCGTGGGTTTGAATCCCACCGAGGCTGCCGTACTTTTCCTACTCGACATCAAATCTTCGAATCTGCTGAAAAACAGTTTGAACAATTATCTCTGTCTTAGAAGCTCATTCAATGTATTCCGGTGATTTTTAAGGAAAACCTGTCGGGACAGTCAGCTTGATTGGTAGTTTCAGTTTTTCCTCTACTTCTGATATCATTATGAGCAATTAATCTAACTGTGATTGCTTTGTTAGGGGATGAAGTTTGAGATGACTGTATGAAGATGGGATGTTTAATATTTGGAAGAAATGAGTCCAGGACATTTCCGCCACTTCTGCAGATGAAGTGGCTGGGGTACCGTTGGGCTTAGATAGGGTAAGTGTGAATGAGGTGTTTTGCCGCGTTCATCGCATACGTTTGTACAGGACTGACCGGTTTGCTCGTGCCCTGGCCTAAATGCCCTTCTGTTTGTTTCTCTACAACTTTCGGATCCTTGCTTTACATAAATGACGAAGCCATTGCCATCTTCCGTCAGACTTGTCAATTCGTATGTAACAAAAGACTGCGAACGTTTTTTAAAAGACGACGGATAGCTCGCTGTAAGATGTGCCTGTTTGATGAAGATTTACGGACGCGGGGCACCAGCAGA